CAGGCCGGCCGCGATCAGCGAAAGAAAGATCTCGGGGCCATGGCAATGGCCTACCAGCACGTCTATGTTGCTTCGGTGGCCATTGGTGCGAATTACAAGCAGTGTGTTGAGGCCTTTGCCGAAGCCGAGAAGTATGACGGGCCGGCCTTGCTCATGTGCTATGCCCCGTGCATTGAGCATCGTTTCTTCAAGACAGGTCTGTCCGCGATGTCCTTGGACCAGCGCGATGCTGTCGAGTGTGGCTACTGGCCCCTCTACCGCTTCAATCCGCATCTCGCGAAGATCGGCGACAATCCCTTCATCCTCGACTCCAAGAAGGTCACTGGAGACGTCATGAAGTTCCTGAACCGCCAGAACCGCTATGCCCAGCTCGTCAGGAGCTCGCCCGCAGTGGCAGAGAAGCTCCAGGGGGAGCTGCAGACATATCTGAAGCAGCGCCATGCCAGCCTGAAAGCCAAGGCTTGCGAACTCTCCCAGGATGTGGCGGCCCTGAAGGATGGCTTGAAACAGGCGAACTCCGTTGCCGAGCCTGTTCTCATCGCCTTCGGCTCGGACACGGGCGTCACGGAGCAGGTGGCCAAGAAGTTTGCAGGCCTCTGCGCTGAGCGCGGCGTCCAGGTCCGGCGGACCTGCGACTTGGATGAGGTCAGCGACATGGAGGAGCTCAAGTCCGCTGCGCTTGGAGCGACCATGGTGGTGATGTGCTCGACTTGCGGACATGGCGATTTCCCACAGAACGCCGGGCTGTTCTGGAGCAGCCTGTCTGCATCGACGCTGGCCCCCAAGGAGCTCGACTGCGTTCGCTTCTGTGTCTTTGGCATGGGCGACCGATCGTATGCTGATTCCTTCTGCGAGGCTGCGAAGAAGATCGAAGAGCGCTTCGTGCAGCTAGGTGCCACACGCATCTTGGACATGGGTATTGGTGATGACCGGGACGAGGACAAGTGGGAGACGGGCTTTACGGCCTGGCTTCCAAAGTTCTGGGCTGCTATCAAGGCCCCGGAGCCTGTGGATGACGGCAGGCCAAAAGCTCCTCTCTTCGAGGTGAAGTACCACGAGAATGCTGCAGCCGTCACGGCGCCCATGGTACCTCCTGGCGCGCAGTTGCTGACAGTGACGGAAAACCGACGCCTCACCCCCAACGAGTACCTTTGTCTACGTGGGGTAACCTTTTACATTCTTATGGCTACTTAAACCCAATAAGGAATAGAAAATAGAATTTCCAATTCTATCCCAACCATGAACTAGGTACGAGCGTGACATCCGCCACTTGGCTCTGAGCCTCCAGGGCGTTGACTTTCCTTTTGACCTCGGCGACGCCGTCGCTTTGTACCCAGAGAATTTGCCCCAGGACGTGGATGAAGCTCTCAAATTCCTGGACTTGGATGGCGACAAGGTCATCAGCGTCAAATGCATCGGCGATGTGTCAGAGCGCCACCGTCGCTGCTTCGATCAGCGTGTGACGATTCGGCAGGTGCTGACGAACATGATCGACCTCTTTGGTCGTCCATCTCGTTCCTTTGTGACAGAGCTTGCCCGCTTCGCCAACAACGCCGATGCCCAGGCCCTCCGGAAACTGGGTTCGCCGGCGGGCAATACCGCCTGGACGGCACTGGTCGACGAGTGCCCATCCTTCTTCGACATCATGAAGAAGTACCCCAGCGCTAAGATGCCTCTGGAGCAGCTGATTTCCGTGCTGCCCATGATCAAGCCGCGCATCTACTCCATTGCCTCGGATGCACGCTACAGCCCGAAGGCTGTAGAGTTCACGATCGTCATCAACCAGTGGAAATCCAAGGCAACCGGTGCTGTGAAGACAGGTACCTGCACCAAGTTCATCCAGCACATGCCTGTGGGCAGCAAGGTGCCCTGCGCGGTCGTCTGCGGTACGTTCCAGTTCCCGAAGGACGACGTCACTCCAATGGTCATGGTTGGCCTCGGAACCGGCATCGCGCCTATTCGCTCCTTCATGCAGGACAAGCTGTACAAGAAGAGCCGTGGAATCAAAACTGGACCCATGGTGGTCTTCTACGGCTGCCGGCATGAAAAGGAGGAGCTCCTCTACAAGGAGGAGTGGAAGATGTACGAGAAGGAGGGCATCTTGACGGCGTTGGTGGGCGCTTTCCAGTTCGACAAGCCCCA